GGCACTGAGTGTAATTAACCTTCAGGAGTCCCTAATAAAAAAAAATGGCCATGACAACATCTTTCAAGCTGCTCGGGGATGCCGGCACATAATTAACACAGGGGAGGGGTTAAGGGTTGTTGAGTTAATTAAGATGTTGAAATGCCTCAATGTTACGGTTCCTGGAAGACTCGTGGGTCAAAAAATTTGAGTGGGGTGAATGAAGAAGTTCTAGTCTGCCACGTTAAAAGCCATACAGCCATGCTGCAAAACTCCAGCGGCAATTTTGGTATTTCACTTAATAAAAGACAAATCGACAGAGAGGCTGTGGAAGTAAAAGGCAGAGGGGAAGAGGACAAAGACATCGTGGTGGAAGGAATCTTTGTATTCCTGGAAATGTTCCTCCTGCTGCTTTAAAAAAAAAAACCACACAATGCAGCGTCCAACAGGGCCAAGATCCTGTGTCTAAACAGACACTGAAGAAAAACATGCCTGCGGCTTTTAATAATAATGATAATAATAATAGCTTTTACAGGCTGTTTTGAACAGACTACTTGTGATTTATAAGCTGTTTATTATATGTATTAGCGCAAAAGACAGTACAAAGTCTTCAAAGGACAAGTATAAATTTTCTTTCAAAGGCTGTGATGATTTTAATATTGGTTCCTCTGTATTTTCATCCTGTTGAACCTTTGGGGAGAGTGTCTGAATGTGCTCTTTCCTATGAGGCTGTAAAACCTCATGTGCATCATGTGCACGTGTTTATCCTTTGATAGTCATCTAAAGCTTTGGATATATGGTGTTGGCCAGAGGGGCCGATGGCTGCCTCGCTCCTGTCAGTCTGCCCCAGGTGTGGCTACAACTGTAGCTTGCCTCCACCAGTGTGTGAATATGAGAGTGAATGAATAGTGGCAGTGTAAAGCGCTATAAGGGTCTCGAAAAGCGCTATATAAATGCAATCCATTATTATTATATATTTTAATAATATTGCAGAAACAGGTAGGCTTGCCTCTTATGATACTCACAGATGAGTATCAGCAGATATTTGTGGCAGAGCTTGAGAACAAAAGGGCGGATATGTGCATAAATGCGTGCAGCCATGCATGTGAGTGTATGTGGCAAATTTAGAGGGGACAAAAAATGCAACATTCATGAGGCGAGAGAGAAAATAAAAGAAACTCCCACACGCACACATGAAGCACGTCCGCACTGAGCACACACCCTCAATTAAACTCGGAGCTCATGTGTAAGACACCAGGGAAACTGGAGGCTCTCTGGAACTTGTGCTGCTAAAAATAACTTAAGTGTCTGCAGCAGTGAGGCAAACCTGTAGGAAGATAAGAGGCGCAAGGACAACCGGTGTAAAAATACAGAGGAGAAGAAAGATGTGATATTATTTTACTTTAATTGGGATTCCTGACAATTACCTGACAATATTCATAAGGAAATGAAATATAACAAATTCATAAATAAATATTCGTAGCCTAGTATGACCTTGCTCGTACTAGGCGGGACTCCTTTTGGCTTCAGAGCTGCCTTAATTCTTTATGGTAAAGACGAAGACTCTCTGGTTCCACCAGTAGTCATAAAGGGATGGACATGGTCAGCAATACCAACAATACTCAGGTAGATTGTAGCTTTTAACTTCTGCTCAGATGCTACTAATAGGCCCAGTGTGCCAAGAAAATATCCTGCACACCATCACATCACCCCCATCTTCTGCTGCTTTAGCACATTTGCTTGAAAATCTAGTGTGTTCACTAGATGCTCTTCTGCACACCTTGGTTGTAATTAGTGGTTATTTGTGTCACTGTTCCTATCAACTCGAAGCAGCCTGGCCATTCTCAACAAGGCGTGTTCACCAGAGAACTGCAGCTCACTGGGTATTTTCTCTTTTTTGGACGATTCTCTGGAAACCCTAGGGCTTTGTGGGAAAATCCCAGAATATCACTTAAGTCA